TCAAAGTGAATGCAAATGAATTAATAGATAATCAAATGCACTAATTGAACTGGAGAACTTCACGTCGAGCTTTTTCAGTCTAGAACATTGATCTCCATGTGAAAAATGCGGTTTATCTAGAATTAATTATTAATTATTAATATTAATTCAATAATTAAATATAATAAATCTATTTCGTTGTCGCAAATGTGTTAACATTTTGGCGATGTGACTTGTACGCTGTGGAAAAATCAAATAAACTAGACAATACGGTTAACGCGAGAGGTCGACATGAAAACAATTTATCGCAAATGGCACTTTCATCCTATTCGATCAGCAATTCCATTGTCTGTCGATTTTTCAGTTGAATTGATACATCAATCCTAGCCCATTGATCATCAGTAAATACAATAGTTGAGGATTTTTTTTCAAATTTTTCTTTTCAAAATGACAGATTCCAGATTATAGATCTGATTCGATTACAGTTGGACAATCTCATCGAGGTTAAATTTTATTGAATGTCAATAATTTTAGTTCTAGTTGTTTTTCTTTGGGGATGGGATAACAGGATAAATAGAAATGGAAATCGTATCATCAATCATCTCCATGGTGACTCCGATCATGAGCGACAGATTCATAGAGTCCATTACAATCGGCTTTGCGTGCTTACAAGATTATTTCACATAAAATTACTCATCCACTGTTATTACGGTTGCGCATCTTTCCATTCAGTTCGTTGGTTACGAAATATATCTGCATTTACGCAAACTTAGAATGTTTTATGTTTCTGTTCTCTGAAGAAATTGATGCATTGAATATTAAATGAAAATTACGGAACTCTCCGAAAACATTCCGGAGTTATTCCGTACAATTTTCATTAACGACTTTTCCGGAATCACGGAAAAGATTTGTAATTTTTATTGAATATTTTTCTCTGTGTAAAAATTTCTTTGAGTCATTGACATTAAAATAATAATACGAGCATCAGTAAACGGAGCAATTAAATTAATTCAGAAGATAATAATGCAGACAATGAGAAGGGGTGGGGACACGGGGTGATAGGGGAGTTTTCCAGGTGAAAAATTAAAAGGAATTGTATAAATAATAATCATTAAAAGGGGTGAAGTGCGTGATTCTGTAGTAGAGTTCCAAAATATTGAAATTTTATGACTGACACTTGAAATAAAAATAAAAATAAAAAAATAAAAACGCTCGGAGAAAATTCTCGAATTCCAGAGAGAATACAATTTTTTTTTTGATTTCCCGGGGTAGCGCGCAACACCAATTATTGGAATAAACGAGAAAAATTTGTACCAAAGCCTTGCCGCGTAATTGAATCGGTGTACCGATGGTTTTTCTCTGAAAACTGAATTAAAAAATCCTGCCAATGGCGTTTCAAACCGAAGGCATTCCTTTTAAATATTTCGATGGCCAATGAAACCCCTGGGGTTTCATCAAAGCCCATCAGTTACATAAAAAACATGAAGATGAATAATTTATGGAATTATATAATTTTGCATTCATATTATTAAATTATTATTTTTTTCCATTCCATTT